CATTAGCTTAATAACTAATCTTGAAATACCTCGATCATACTTTAGTATTATACTTGCATTTTACTCTATGCTTGATTGTTGTTTCTTTGATGTGAGCTATATCTTGGATTTTTAATGTAGTGTGAAGATTAGCTTGTCTACCTTTGTCCAAAGCTTTTTCATTGAATGATAGTACTAAAGAAGTAGGCTATATTTTTTCAATAGGGATTATTGCGTTCATGCCGTAAACCATGTAGAAAGGTGTTTCATGTGTAGAAAAATGTGTAGTTGTGTGATATGACCATAACACTTGTGGGAGCTCTTCTACCCATAATGCTTTAGCATCATCTAATTTCCTTTTTAGACCCTTCAAAATTACTTTATTTGCTGCTTTAACTTGTCCATTAGCTTGACGATGTTCCATTGAAATGAAAACCATATGGATTCCTAACCCTCGACAAAAGTCTTGTACTGGGTTGCTTGCAAATTGAATTCCATTGTCTTTAGTAGCCTAAATTGGAAAATTATTGATTGTAAAGTTTTTTTTGAATCGTTCGATAGAAATAATAGCTATAGGGATAGCTTCTATCCATTTGCTAAAATAGTTGAATGCTATGACGAGGAATTTCATTTTGGTGTATGGCTTTTGGGAATAATGCTAGTAGATTAATTGATAGCGCATAATTAATATATATTTTAACATATTACATTGGGCTTATTTGGCATTTATAAGTGTCTTAAATTGATGAATTTATTGACATTTGTTTTACTAGACTATTTTGGTTTCAATTCTAAATTCTAGTTAATTTTTGTAATTTCTTTCCACTTTGAAATGGTGTCTTGCACATGCCATATTTGGAGCTCCGAAATTCAAAATTGGGTCTTCTTGGTGTCCCTAGAAAGCTAAGATAGAGCCCTACAACTTCTCTATTGAGAGTTTCACCTAGTTCAAACGTTTAAGTGTCCAAAAATGTGCCTCAATGTTACGACTTTGTGTACTTTATTTTGGGTTTACTTTAGGAACTTGTTGTATTAGTAGTTTAACCTTGTTAGTTAGTTGATTAGTGGGTCAGGTCTTGTAAATATCCTGATTAGGACCACTACATTGGTATATTAATAGTTGTTGCGAGACTTGTTATGTACATCTTCTCTAATTTTTTAGATTTTAGTATTACTTTCTCTACAAGTTTCTCTAAATTCTCTTTTTCTCTCTTGGATTTTTTTCTTTACATTTTCTAAATGAATGAATTGTAGCAACTTGATGGAGATATGTGGCTAGTCCATCCAATCGATTAAAGATTACATGAATTGTGATAAAATTCATATTCTCAATATATTTTTATCGTACGAATTCTTTGTCTTCTTCTCTATTTTAGATTTAATTTCCATTTTCATAATTATGAATTTCAATTTAATTAGATCTAGAATCGAGATCGAAGTTTATTTTTGGATCTATATCTAAAATAACCTAAATCACTTAAATCAACCGTTCACCACTCTTAAATTTCACAAAAATTGCAAGATCATGATAGCATTTCACATTTGTATGAAATTCAATAGATCTAAATTTAGATCTACATTTTGATTACATTTGTGTTGATTTAGGTTGATTGATAGTTTGGATTATATTTTGAATCATGAAAATTTCACTATAAGGTTGAAAACTTGAATTGATACATTTTCTGATTGAAATTTGCAATTGAATTTTCTATTTGCATTTTAATATTCCAATTTTTGTTCACTATTCCAAAAATCTCCATTCTAACCATACATGATAAATTTGGATTATATTGACTTGTGTCTTCGAGAAGAATAACCTAAGTTGTTCCCTATATTAAATATCTTTGGGAAAAATATAGTAATTTTTGATAATTATTCAACAATGCTGTCATAGATCAACTCCTAACTTGTAGAATGGCCATGGGAAAATTATTGAATGTAGCCTTTCAACCGGTGCCATGTGTAGATTGACATAAAGTTGGCATTTTTCTCATTTTTTTCACATACTCCATGGAATCTATTTTTAAAGTTGGCCAAAAATATCCAGCCCTTAAAATTTTATTAATTAAAGCTTAGCCACCAATGTGGCTCCCACGTGCTCCATCATGGATTTAATTTGAACATGATATGATATACTTGTCTAGTACTCGAGCAATGCAAAAGTGAAATGGTGTTGAAAACCTTTGGCGATATAAGTTTTCACTAATGATGGCAAATCAAACATTTTCTCATAAGTCTAATTGCCTTGGTTAGTGATGATGGTAGTGACCCTTTTTCCAAATATGCCATGATATGACCCATCCATGATTTTCGTTCCTCCTCTATAAAGTTGATTTCCCTTTTTTCTATGGTAATGTTTTGGTTGTGACAAAAATTCCTAAATGATTGACTTGAGGTTCCCAATTTTTTTTTGTACTTGCTAGTTTGGATAAAAGATCCACTTGTGAGTTTTGCTTTCTAAGAATGTGGGTGAGTTTGAATGTTGCAAATAGTGAGCATAGTTCTTTAACTCGATCTAAGTACCTAGTGAGTTGAGGATCTTTAGCCTTAAAATTCCTAAGTACCTAACCTATCACCAATTGAGAATCACTTCTTACTGTTATGTTTGTGACTCCATCTGTTAAGCAAAAAAAATCCTACAACTAGGGCTTTATACCCAGCTTGATTATTGTTTGCCTTAAAGTTCGGTTGAAGTCTGATCAAAAGAAGGATATACACCAGACAAAGCTACCCACAAACTACAAACCTTGCATTACAACAAATTCAATTTTTTCTTCCCATCACAGACACAACGCAAAATAAAGAACAGAGCACGAGCAATCAAGATAAAGGTAAAAGCTACAAGATATCAGATGAAGAGATCAAACGATATCAAGCCAAGCACAAGAAGGAAAATAATGAAGCCTTAGATGATACAAGACTACAGATGATGAACAATCAAAGTCAAAGTCTAACTCTTAGATGGAGACTAAAACTTCCAGACGAAAATGAAGAACGTTGAATTGCGTCTAAAGTCTACTAAGTCACAACAAGAAGTACTGCTTATCATCCACACTCTCAGAAGAACACATGAACACTACAAGAAAATTGTGAATTAGAGAGGTAAAGATCCTTCGCAAATCCCTCACTAAACAAAATGGTGAGGGACTAGTGAGGGATTTGCGAAGGACGATTCCCTCGCTAAATTCAAGTCGCTAATTAACTATGGATGCATATCCATCGCAATTCCCTTGCTACAATCCTTCGCCATTCCCTCACAACAGCTTCGCTAGTCTATCACAAATTTGTGCCGTTAATTCATCGCTATCGCCTCGCAAATGTAGAACCCAAATTCCCTCACTAACTGCATTTAATATTTCCTCGTTAACACGTCGCAAAACCTTCGCAAGATATCCTTCGCTACTTTGTCGATATTCCATCGCAAAATATTATTTAATTATTTCCTCGCTAATCTTTCGCCACTCCGTCATAATTATCCCTCGTGATATTGTCGCCAATTTCTCGCAACTCTATCGCAATATATCAATTGAGGTCCCTTACAAATCCCTCGCTAACCCCTCGCAAATATGTCCTTCACAAATCCCTTGCTAACCCCTTGCAAATATGTCCTTCGCAAATTGTTCGTTAATCCCACGCAAATCCATCAAAGCATGTCAATTGAGTTCCCTTGCGAATACCACGCTAATCCCTCGCGAAACCTTATCAAGATATCTTTTGAGTTTTCTCGTGAATCCCTCACTAATATCTTGCAAAACCTTCCCAATTTAACTATATATACATTATTCTCTCATGAATCCATGTAGATATACCACTTAATTTGATATTTTAAATAAGTCTAAATCAACAACATAATTTTTTTTCAATTGGATATGATTTAAAATAAAAGTTGCATGTAACAATATCTCTTACGAAACCAAATTGTTAAATGTCTTACAAAATCCAACTTGTGCATACTATCTTAAAGAAACCCAAACTAATCAATGTTTTACAAAAAGAAAAGCCAAATAACGAGTCATTCTAAATAGTAATCAACCTAAGCTAGTAACATCATCATCTCGTCCTTGATCCTCCCTACGTTGGTTAGTTGATGGTGATGTTGATGGTTGAACTGCCTTAAGTATATGCCTCATCATATCTGGTAATTGTGTTTGCAAAAAAGACACCAATGCAGTATTTATTTGTTGGTCATGTCCCTTCAAAATAGATTAAAAAAGTTACTTATTATTACAAGGTAGCAATAACTTCAAATGAACAAAGGCTACTACTAACAATAGGAATAACAATTATAATATAATTATCATATCTAAGTGTTTTTCAAATTACAAGTTGTTGAGGGCATTCATAACAGTAAGGTTTGGCAAGGAGCCTGAAAATTTATTGTTGGACAAGAACCTGAAATGCATAAATTAAAGCCAAAAAAGTTCAATTTTCAAGTATAAGTACGCATACAAAGAAATGAAATGTTTCAGATGTTCTTTATGTTTGCTTACAGATCTTGAATATTTGTAAGGTTGTTGATGTTTTGAGGCACAGGTCCACTTAATGAATTACTATCTAAGCGCCTATACAAAATTACAAATGTGTAACATTATACTAATGCCGAGAGCAAAAATAAATAAATTTACGAACTTGCTCGGGAACTAATATAGACACTTACACCACCTCTAAACTCTGAACTAGTCCAAGCGTAGTTGGAATGTTTCTAGTTAGTTGATTGCTTTCCAAAAGCTTGACCAAGAAATTTTTCAGGTCGAAAGGTATATATTTAACAAGGAAGCTTGTACCCGCTTTCTATATTAATTCAACACATGCTACAAAAGTTCAACTATATTGATAGATTTTGGACTATTCTTCCCGAGATGACTGTATATATTGGAAATACGTTGATGGATTTTGGTATGTACAAAAGCAAATCATACATATGCTTTTATCTATTCAATTCTCTTTTTGGATAAACCATATTAGAATTTATCTGACTCATTTCATTTGGTTGTAGATGCACAATCATGATATTACCCAGAATGAGTCAACATCATCTCCCAATCGCGTTGTTCGCTTTGGTCGCAATTGAGAGTAGCAGTCAGAGCCTTGGCCGTACCTACGCCTTTCTTCTCTTCTGTGCCATCTTGCTCGATATTTCTTGGTTCATTCTTTTCGCTCACGAAATTTGGTGCGTTCTGCAATTTCTTTCTTTCTTTTATTATATATTATATAATAATTTATTCGATATAGTATTGCTTGAGAACAAATGGTTGAATCTTGGCTTACTTTCTTGCGTAATGATTCTTTCTTGCCCCTAAGGAAGGGACATTGACTGTGTCATTGTCTTTGTCGTATTTTATGACCTTAGGTTATGAAGAGCAAATGCGGATTAGGACAAAATTTACTTAATGTTCTTTAGGTGTTCTTGGTGTTGTTCTTTGATCAGAATTGAACTCTTTAGGCTGACGATCATTTCTTGCTAATTTATCTTTCCTGTAATGTGAATCTCTATGACATCTCCTGCATCCTTGAGTTATTATTTCAGCCATGTTACATGGAGGCCACTGTATCCAAAAAGCTTATTTTCTTTTCTAAATTGTTTATTTGCAATAGGGTTAAAGCTTAGTCAAGTTAAATTTGAGGTTCACAACATGCATCCTACGTTGAGTATTGTTTATGAATTTAACAATAAGAAGTTGCTGCTGTATGTAGTGAAGAGAGTATACATATTCATTGAACCAAAAAATTCTCTGCTTGTAAGAATCAAACAAGTGATCATGATTCTGACTGTGTTTTTCATTCATATTTGCTGAAGAGCATCGTGTGTGTTTGCAGGAACATTTCTACTGAGAAGTACACAGCATTTTTCACGTTTTCAGTGAAACTTACTCTGGCTATGCAAATTGTTGGTTTTATAGTGAGGCTATCATCCTCGTTGTTATGGATTCAAATTTATAGGTTGGGTGCTTCCTATGTGGACACAGTTTCTAGAGCAGCAGATTCAGACTTGAGGAGTAGTTTTATGAGTCCTGTGACACCGGCAGTAGTTAGGCAATGTTCCGGTTCCAATGAGATACTTGGAGGCGCCATCTATGATCCATCATACTACTCATCCCTATTTGAAGATGGTCAAGAAAACAAATATTCATATGGGGTAGGCTAAACTTTTCTCAGAATCATATGCCATGATTAATTTTCAGTTGGTATTGGTTTGGCACTTCGTTGTGCAATTTTATCTGATTCTACACTCATCCCTATAGAGAGAAACAATTTTATCTATTTGGGTACTTCTAGTTCACCAGTACCCTAATTTGTTACCAGCTTTATTTACTATTGAATTGAATTGTTGGTGCCCAATACAATGGTCAATAGATTGCCAATAGGGCAGAGAACTGGTGCACTGTATACTTTTTTACTAAATAGAATATCATTCATAATATGTTTTTTTATGATAGGAAAGTATTCTACTATGTGCACGAAGTTATTATTGGTCCTTTTGTGAATTGTCCAGTTAACTAACCCACCACAGAATTCTTCTAGTGATAAATTTGGTCTGTTATAATGTTGAACAAATACTGAACCGAGTGAGAGAATATTATTTTGTTATTACTGTTGAAAATGTGAAATGTACAAATGGCACCCATCCTATGTACAAGAATCTTATTTATAATAGAGAGATAGGTTGAAGACTAGTTGTTAACTGACTTGTGGTCAGTTATAAAAATCTAACAATAACATAAAGTAACAAAGTTTAGTTTACAACAGGATACTAGCAAGATACAGAAACAGAAATTACAGGAAAATAAAATTGAGAAATGATATTCTCTTACAAATGTTTTTGATTATGAATATTCTCAAGGATTAAAAAAATAGAACTGGTCAAACAACCAGAAAACTGAATAATTGTTCAGGTCAGTGTGGTTCAGAATTTTCATCAAACTAAAGTAGCCAAAAACTGGAAAGAATCAGTTCTAGTTTTTGATTCTTTTTTAATTTCAAAATTTTTCCTTATTTTGTAATTGTTTTAGAAAAGGAAAAATAAAGGTCCACACGTGGATTGCTATTTATAGCCTTTTTGTTATTTGTTGTTAAACTTTTATCTTGTAGGACATAGAACATGGTTCTTTTATATTAATTTAAAATTTTAACTAGATTTCTTGTGACTAAGTTTTACTTAATAAAAAGCGCAACCTGGTGCTACAATGCTCCCATCACAGCGGAGTCCAGGAAAGGAATGGACCCTTATAGTTCTAATTTAGGCAGTTTTACTCGAGGCTGATTCTGTGACTTGAACTAGTGACCTACTAGTCACTTGGCAACAACTCTAACTGTTGCATCAAGTGGACAACTGGTCAACCATAAAACTGAATAATTTTTTAGATCAGTGTTGCTCAGAATTTTCATCAAACTAGAGATGCCAAAAACTGATGAAGAATCAGTTGAATTACCCTAGTTAAAATACTAAAATAAACAGGTTTGTTTCTTTTTTAAAATTTTTTTTCCTTATTTTGTAATTGTTTTATAAAAGGAAAAATAAAGGTCCATGCATGGATTGCTATTTATAGCCTTTTTGTTATTTTTTGTTAAACTTTTATCTTGTTGGACATATAACATGGTTCTTTTATATTAATTTAAAATTTTAACTAGATTTCTTGTGACTAAGTTTTACTTAATAAAAAGCGCAACCTGGTGTGCTACAATGCTCCCACCACAGCGGAGTCCAGGAAAGGAATAGACCCCTTATAGTTCTATTAGGCAGTTTTACCTTGCTTTTACATGAGGCTGATTGTGTGACTTGAACTAGTGACCTACTAGTCACTTGGCAACAACTCTAACTGTTGCATCAAGGGGACAACTGGTCAATGGTCCCCTTTATGAGTTATTTATACTTAATAGATTATTTAATGTTAAAATATATTTAATTATCACCGGTTAGTCCCACATTGACTAGAGATATAAACAATGTAAAACTTTGGTATTCCTCACCTTACAAACCATTTTGTGGGATTGAGTTAAATTAGGTCTTAAAAGACCATATTTTAAGGAGCCTTAATTATAGGAAAGGCTTTGATTTCATATTTTATCATCATATGCTTTTATCTATTCAATTCTCTTTTTGGATAAACCATATTAGAATTTATCTGACTCATTTCATTTGGTTGTAGATGCACAATCATGATATTACCCAGAATGAGTCAACATCATCTCCTGAAGTTTCTCAGAAGTCATCCGTGGGCAATTTTTGCCGTCTGAAATACCGAATTTTCTTGTAGTGTATTTAGAAGAAAAAAAATTGATAAGCCAACTACTGCAGAAGAGAGTTGACTTACAAATGCTTGGCATGGTGTAACTTATCAAGATCATCAGAACCAGATATATTGCCACTAGATACCGGGATGTTTCCTTAAAGTTGATTGTCAGCTAAATATAACCAATAAAGCTTTGATAGATTACCAATTGAATGCGGAATTGGTCCACTAAAGCCAAAATAGGGCTAAATCTGGAACAAGACAAAGATGCATCAAACATCAGATGAAACCAGATGGTCAACTCAGATAAAAGAACAATCAAGGCAAGGCATATCATGAGAATCGAAAAAATCAAGCTAACTGAATAGACAAAGTATAATATGTGCGCTAGACGGCTATAAGTCTAACTTTAGACGAAGGTGTGTCAAGGACAACCTCCAGTACAACATAAGAAATTAGACGAAGCATGAGTCAAAGAATAGAAGAAAGTCAACTACGCAGAAGACGAATGATAGCACAGACTGAAAGATATTTCAGACAAAAACAAAGTTTGTCCGTCCATCTATAGCGTTCACCAGATCAAAAGAAAGTTAAAGCATGAAACTCAAATGCTCAGACGAAAATCACAGATTAAGATGCATAGGACCAACAGACGAAGATTGCCACGCAAAACACTTAAAGAATCAAGTCACAAAAGAAAAATTAAGGCATTATCTACGATCACTTAAATGCTCTCAACAAGATAGCGTGATGAAAGAAGAAGAAGAAGAAAAGCATGCAAAAGTAAAAACATGCATGTGTTAGAAAAAGTACATCACTTTTTTAGATAAGGACAACACTCTACAGCTACGCAACTAGAAAAGGACAAAAGGGTTCTTAGGTCTCTGTTACATTTAGACATAGTTGCTAACAAGGCAAAGAAGACTGCACGCAATGTCCATAAACATGAAGCAACATTTAATGCAAGATCTTGAGCATTAAATGAAAAATCAAACTAGTCATGAACGATTATATCTGCTTCAACGGATACTTGCAACGGGCAAATTCTATAAGACAATATATATATCACTACCTCAAACCTTGAAAGGTTGGCTATTTTTGGCTTGAGATGGTTCGAGCTAGACAAAGAGTGATATCCAGCCTATGAAGTAACGAAACCAGAGATAGAGAGTATAGAGTCAAATGTACCATAGTATAATTATCTCTGTAAACTAAGGAGTTTCAAGTGTGCATCTTAGGAACACAAACCTTAGTGAGTGTATTCAACTTATGTATCCTCTCTATGTGAGTAACCCAAACACTCAAACCAAACCTATTTAGTTATCATATGTAAATTAAGCCTGAAGAGGCTAGGGAAATAATACTTGTAAAGCCTGGAGAGGCTTGTCAAAGAATACTCAATGAGAGCCAGAAGTGGATGATCAAAGAATACTAGCATCGATGAGTGAAGTTGATGGGCTATGAGTTGGTTGACAATACTCACTAAGAGCCAGAAGTGGCTGATCAAAGAATACTAGTGTTAGCAAGTGAAGTTGACGAGTTAGGAGTGGTTGATAATACTTAGGACCAGGAGTGGTCGTGACTTGGGTGGTCTAAAATACTCACTGCGGGCCTGAAGAGGCTGAACAAAAAATACTTGTACTTCATTGAACATCTAGTGTAACCCTTCATTTGAAGGAGATTGGACATAGCTCAGTTTGAGTGAACCAATATAAAAATATTTGCACTATGCTTTAATTTTTCAGATGCACTTTTATTTGATTGATTTAATATACTGAAACTTCATCTAATGCTTATCATCTATTAAAACTATCTTCAGACGAAAACCATACTTGTTCAATTTGTTATCTTAAAGAATGATTTTCGTTTAAGAAGCATTTTTCCTAAGCAGACGATGAAACTTCCAGACGCAAAATATTTTGTTAAACCAATCCTGGGCAGTTTCAATTTAGCATTCACCAATATTATTTCACTGGATGAAAAAGAGCCTTCTTACGAAAACGTTAAAATTTCTTAGTTCACACACACACATATTCAACCCCCTTCTATGTGTTTTTCATCTAACTTCACATTTAACCTTGCATAATATTTGTTCTCTTTTGATTCAATTTTTGTGCATATATTGCTAACTTGAAAATCATCTAACAATACACTAATACACCTCATTTTTTGTATAGGTATTGAGTAGAAGAGGTTGTTGTTGAGGATACCTTGGATTAGAACTTAATAGAGTTGAGAATGAGGAGCTAAGGAGTTGGAGAAGAAATTCGCGTCGGACTTATGTGTTACTGTGCTGGGTGTGACTCAAGACAAAGAGCAACATTCTTTAGAATTCACTATGCACCAAATGCGTATGTTCTTGCACCAGACGTGATTCGAGGTAGAGACCATCAACTCTCTGGAAGATGTTTGTGTCGGGCACGAAATTATATTATGTCGGGCACGGAAATCTTGACCTGACTCATCCAGCTTTTTTTAGAACACATTATCGAGGGTTTTTCCATTATTCACACAAGTTTCAAGTTCTAGGAGCTATGGAAGCGATTCTCGGTACTTGGGACCGTGCCGTGTGTGGGTCTTTGCTTCGGTTCTTCCATTTTTTCTTCCATCTTCTCTTCCATGTCTGTTTTGATTTTCCCTCATAATTTTGAGTGGTTTTTCCCATTTTTGTGGGGTTAGATGCAACCAACTAAACTCTTATGTATTGGTTATCCTATCAATGATAAATGTTTGTTTCATTCATTATTATATTGTGTTTATATTAATGCCTGCTTTGGATTGATCTCCCGTTGTTTGATATAGGGTTCATTGAGTGTTGGAAAATAACTCTTGAAACTAGCTTTGAAACAAAATACCTAATGGAAATTGTATCTAGGAATGAAGCTTGACAAATTAGTAGTCTCAAACCCTAACCATTAATGTGGGTTCATATATTAGATACTTAAGGGATTGATACTCAATATCTTGAATATCCAATATATGTTCCTAGGCTTTTTCTTTAAGGAATTAGGTTTGAGTATACTTATGATTTGACTAAATAATGTTTGTAACAAGAGAAGTATTAACTCATAAGAGTGTAGTTTGGTGAAGTCTAACCTTCACAATTTCACAATTCCACTATATCATTTCTTATCTCTTCCACACACAAACTATCTTCTAAAATTAGTTTTAGAGTAATTTATACTATTTAATTCCATATGCATCATAAATTATAAAATGAAATCATTTTTTAGTCACTAATAGTCATTAAATGTTTATTTTACCTTATCTAGTCCATGTGTGTATGATCTTTTATATTACTTGAACGACCGGTGCACTTGCTGTGTTTGAGTCTGTGGTTAGAAATTTAATTACATTTCACAAGAAGAGAAACTAACTCCAAACAGAAACTCAACAATCTGCCTAAAAAATTATCCGATCCATTCATTTGTCACCCCTACTATATTATAAAAGGAAAAAAAATGGTTTGAATTGTAAAATGTACACACAATTTGTTTGCCAACAAATTACCATCATGTTAAAGTGTATTTCTTAGGTTGGATGTATAGTAGAAAAAGACTCGCATTTAATGGAAGTTTTTATCCAATTTTCTAATTGAGATTGTACCTCCACTGTAGACTCGTGTTTTACCTACCTTTTTTCACAAGGATACTTAATTTGCTTTGGTATAATGTTTCTGTTTTCCAATTCTCGAGAAGACATGCACTAACTCAATAAACAGTTGCTTGAAATTGTTGTCGATGAGATAGGTTGAATAACAATAGATAGAATAAACATCTAATGACTGTAAATTCTATCTAAATTAGTAAAATTTACTTGATTTGTTGTATATATTCTCTCTTTTTTTAAAAAAAAAAAAACTTTGCTATGTATATTCTATCTTGTCGAGTATTGATTTATCATCTTGTTAGCAAATTGACACCGTATCTATAGAATTAAAGAGGCTTTTTGAGTAAAATTATAATTTCTCAACTTCATACTAAGTGAAAATTGGAGCAATAGTGGCATGGAAAAATCAGGTAAGAAACAACATCAAGGATTTTATGTCGTCTTCTCATTGACAATGGTGTAGGCGACATTCTTCGTCAACGTCAATCTGACAACCCCTAGAGCTTGTCGATCTAGCGAATTCCAATCTTCCTAAGATATCGTTTCTGGTTTATTCTCGGACAGAGGATGATACAACTTCTTCTGATATAAATAATCTTCAATCTGCATCTTCCAAAATTTGAAATCACTCCCATCGAACTTGTCAATCTTCACTTCCCTGTCTTCTTCCATTGCTCCCACTCGCATGAAAATTAGGCTCTGATACCAGTTGTTGGGATCCCAAATGCACTCACTCACACATTTGTAAGAGAGAAAACAAGATACAAATATTTACGTGGTTCGATCAGAATAACGTACGTCCATGACTGCACTAGATGATATTTTCTATTTCATCTTATTAGGTTTACAATTACATGAACATTTATAAGAAAGAAAGAAAGCAAATGGGAGAAGCCCAATAAATCCTTCAGACTCCACATACTCAACAGCGTATTGATTTATCATCTTGTTAGCAAATTGACATCGTATCTATAGAATTAAAGAGGCTTTTTGAGTAAAATTCTAATTTCTCAACTTCATACCAAGTGAAAATTGGAGAAACAGTGGCATAGAAAAATCAGGTAAGAAACAACATCAAGGATTTTATGCTACCAACAAGACCACTTGTTTTACTTTAAAATTACAAAACAATTATTGGCAAGAGAGAAGAAAAAAAGAAAAATAGCAAGATGAATGAAATTGTGGTCCTCTAATATGCACCATTTCTATGTTGTCACAAACCACCTATAGCATAGTCATTTAATATTAATAAAATATGAAAAAACATAGATGTATTTTTGGTAGTATAGCTTGATCTTTTTATCCTTTTTCCATTTTGGTTTTCTCCAACTTTCCCTAATTTTTAATGAAACTATTAAATAAATAATATTAAAAAGTGTTTTTTCTTTTAGAGATGTTCAAATGGATTAAAGAACTGCCCCAATGATAACTACATTTGATTAATAAAAAATATGTTTTAGAAACAAAAAAGCTAAGTTAATATTTTTGGATCAAGGATGATAAATTCTAAGCATTAAGATTCGATAAATCTTTAGCAACAAAAAGTATGATTGGTGTAGGAAGATCTAGCGATACAAATCTTACAAATATTATTATTTTATAATAAATTAGTATTTTGGTGTAGTGTAGATTTTAGTATTAGACCATAGAGAATGATTAATTTTGAATGAAAGGAAGATTTGTTCATCATTTTAATTCATATTTTTTATCTATCAAAATACAACGATGATAATATGGTTAAAATATTGAATTTAATATTTTCATTATTTTAAATGTGTTAAATATTATGTTCTCAAAGATTTTAGTCTCCTTCCCGAGTCGGTTTTTAAAGAGCAATTTTATCATAGTTGAATATAAAATAGAGTTAATCAATGCAAAACTATAAAATGAGACCTCGCCATATATACGAATTTGAAACCTCTCCATATATATAGGGAGAAAATATATTAATGTGAAACTATACAATTTACCAGCCCATATATATGCATTTGAAGTGAGAAAAAAATTGTGCAAACTTTTTTCTTATTGCAAGGTAAAAATGTTTTAAGTTTAATTGAATAAAGTTTGAGCTTGAATAATCTTTAAATTTAGTTACCGTAACCTTATTCTTTTTAATTTAGGGGTCCTTCTCAATACTTTGAAGTAGTTTAGCAACTAGTGTTTCACCTTGAGATAATATTAACTTTTTTGACTTTTAAACAAAGGATAGTATATATATTACAAGAATGACATAAGTAGAAAGATAGAATGAAAAAGGGGTGATATAATAGAAAAAGGAATGAGTGTTTAGTATATATTGATTGGTGTGATGAATTACATAGGAAAGGGTTCAAACATGAGATACCACACACTTCACTTCCCCGTCTTCTGCCATTGCTTTCACTCGCGTGAAAATTAGACTCTGATACTAGTTGTTGGGGATCCCAAACGCACTCACACACACAATTGCAAGAGAGAAAGTAAATTAACAAGATATAAATATTTACGTGGTTCGTCAACATAACCTACGTCCACGACTGCACTAGATGGTATTTTCTATTTCATATTATTAAGTTTACAATTACATGAATATTTATAAAAAAAGAAAGAAAGCAAATGGGTCAAGCCCAATAAACCCTTCAGACTCCACATAGTATTTATAAAAAAGAAAGAAAGCAAATGGGCCAAGCCCAATAAATCCTTCAGACTCCACATACTCAACAGAGTATTGATTTATCATCTTGTTAGCAAATTGACATCGTATCTATAGAATTAAAGAGGCTTTTTGAGTAAAATTCTAATTTCTCAACTTCATACCAAGTGAAAATTGGAGCAACCAGTGGCATGGAAAAATCAAGTAAGAAACAACATCAAGGATTTTATGCTAACAACAAGACCACTTGTTTTACTTTAAAATTACAAAACAATTATTGGCGAGAGAGAAGAAAAAAAGAAAAATAGTGTAAGATGAATGAAATTGTGGTTCTCTAATATGCACCATTTCTATGTTATCACAAACCACCTATAGCATAGTCATTTCATATGAATAAAATATGAAAAAACATAGAAGTATATTTGGTAGTATAGCTTGATCTTTTTATCCTTTTTTTTTGTTCTCTCCAAGTTTCCCTAGTTTTTAATCAAACTATCCAATAAATAATATTCAAAAATGTTTTTTCTTTTAGAGATATTCAAATGGATTAAAGAACTGCCCCAATAATAAATATTCTAAGTTTAATTGGATAGAGCTCGTTCGAGCTTGAATAATCTTTGAATCTAGTTACCATAGCCTTATCCTTTTTAATTTAGGGGTCCTTCTCATTACTTTGAAGTAGTTTAGCAACTAGTATTTCACCTAGAGATAATATTAATTAGCTTTTCTAACTTTAAAACAAAGAATAGTATATATATTACAAAAATGACATAAATAGAATGAAAAAGGGATGATATAATAGGAAAAGGAAGGAGTGTTTAGTATATATTAATTGGTGAGATAAATTACATATATATAGGAAAGGGTTGAAACATGAGATACCACACACTTACACGATAAAAGATGGATTATAGCTAATTAATATGGAACGGGGAGATGAATAAGAGAAGAAAATGGTTTAAATTGTGTAGGGTGGTGGCTTGGGCAAATCCTTGACAATACCACAGAGAAGCTGGTTGTCAGGAAGACTATACTCATCCCTGAGAGAATGCTCAGGAGACAAGACACTGACGTACATTTGTTGGCCAAGGTAACGATTCTCGGCGAGCTCTGACCTCAAGTTCCACATTCCAGCATTGTCAAAGGTCAACATGATTGCGGCCCAAGACTTAGGGAACACCTGAATGGTGTGTCGGCTGACAGCATCAAGAAGGTTGTAGTTCTTTCTCTTCTCGGGGGTCCACTTGCCAGGCTCAATGCTATAATAAGATGAACAAGGAAAATAATGAATGTAAGAGAAGAGATAATTAAAAAGAGTGGTTAATTAAGAGTATGAGAGACTTACGCGACTGCAAAGAAAGAGTAGCCATCCAAGTTGTAAGATTGGGGAACCTTGGTGGGGTTCTCTAGAATGATTTCAATGTAGTTGCGGAAGGTGGCGTTGATGACGTTGGGAGCAACGGTGAGGTCGCCGAGAGTGGGAGCGGGTTCATCACTAATGAGGCCGTACTTGAAGACCTGGTCGGCGACTCCGAAGTATTCAGCGAGCTTAAGAGGGGTCTCAGGGTCGACGTGGGAGACACCGTTAAGTCCGTAACGGAGTTTCCCAGTGGCGCGGCTGAAGGAGTTAACGAGCTTGATGGTGCGGGTGATGTTGATTTGGCCGTAATGGTATGAGCCTTGTGGGTTGGGCCTTGCAGCGCTGGCAGTAAGGTTCCAACGGAAGGAGCGAAACTGGTTCAAGGACCAGGCCCAGCCCTCGGGTGCGGGTGGGAGCTCGGGGGAGGCGGGGCCGACGCCATTGGTGTAGCGAATGACACGTGTGGCGTTTTAATAATTCATATTTTACATTAAATTTCAACGATCCAATAGTTAAATTTAAAGTTCTTAATATATAGATCAAATTTGTAAATTTTAAAAAAATTTGAAAATCATTTGATACTTCGTTTCATTAATTGAGAAAACTCATTTGCTTTATCTAAATAAGTAAATTATAAAGATTCGTTGGATGACTAGAATAAGATGAGAAAAGATAATTATCATATTTTATTATAATTCATTATTTATTACATCAACAGAATATAATATAATAGTCGTATTTGGTATTCTATATCTTATTCTATCATATTGGTATAGTATATTTTTTATCATGAGAAAAGAGCTAATTTAAAAATCAATAAAATAAGATAAATTATCATTTCTTCTATTTATATACATTATGTTATATATTATATTACACACACAATATACAATATTATATAATATAATTTATATATTAATTTATATAATATATATATTATAAAATTTATATTCATAAATACATCTTATATACAATTATAATAATTTTGACATATAAATTTAAATTATATTATTAACTAAAATATTAAAATAAAAATATATAAATATTTTCTTAAAAATATTTGAATAATATTTATAATTAGTATTTTAACTTGTACAATGCACAAACATACTATATATATATATAATGAAAGATCTATTAACTCTAAGATTTAGACTTACTATTTTTAATAATTCATATTTTACATTAAATTTCAACGATCCAATAGTTAAATTTAAAGTTCTTAATATATAGATCAAATTTGTAAATTTTAAAAAAATTTGAAAATCATTTGATACTTCGTTTCATTAATTCAAATCAATGTATAAAATAATTTTATAATTATTTGTCAATTTGAATTAATGAAACGATGTATCAAATGACTTTTAAATTTTTTGAGAATAAATTTTTCAGTAATTATTTTTCACTAAAACTTTCGTCCAACATATTTTTATATATAAGTTTTATAAAATCATTTTAGTTTATGATTCAAAAACTACTATATATAAGTTAGATTTCTTCGTACTAACAGACACATATTCAACCCCCCTTCTATGTGTTTTTTCGCTAACTTCAAACCTTAGGTTGTGTAGCGCCCAGTGTGACCAAGACAAAAGCTCTATGCCAAGTGACATTGGACTTGAGATAAAATTGTCTTTAGCTGAAATGGGGTTGGGCGTGGGTTTAGCCACGCCAAACATAATTTGTTGAGGGCATTTTTGTTCACATCCACATCAGGTAGGAGTTGAATGGCGTGGGACATAGATGAGACAAAGAGTTCTCTATCTCAGTGATGTCGGGTGCAGGGTGGATAACATCGGACGTGAGTTGTTTCATGAAAACTTGTTGGATTAAGAATATGTTGAACATATATAGGTTAGGTGAATCTATTGCAATATTGTATGTTGATTAATGTTGTTAGTTCTATATTTGTTGATTTGGGATATTGCATATAGATGAATAATTATTTATTGTTGAGGTGATGATGATGAGAATGCTTTAGGTGTTTAGGCATGTTATGCTAATTAATTATTGACTATTGAGATGAGGATGTTGAGAATGCTTAAGGAAATCAACTGAGATCACTTTAATCAATTATTTTGAGCAATCTAACTTATATAGTGCGAAGAAATCTAACTTATATATAGTAGTTTTTGAATCATAAACTAAAATGATTTTATAAAACTTATATATAAAAATATGTTGGAGGAAAGTTTTAGTGAAAAATAATTACTGAAAAATTTATTCTCTTTATATATACTATAAATACCATTTTTTTCCATTTGTTATTGACTTTGTATGCTCTAACTGTTCTCTAAATTATCGAGTGTTATTATCACTATGAGATAGTTATTAAAATTGAAATTCGTTTACTTACTATATTCTTATTCTAAAGTGAATAAATTAATAAAATAATAATTGATTTTGTTGTAAAACTGAATGATTTATTATAGTTATTACAATATCCAAAATTTTATATTATATTTGCAAATCTACTTGTTATTATATATAAATTTTTTTTTTGTCTTTTTCCATTTGTTATTGACTTTGTATGGCCTAATTGTTCTCTAAATTATTTAGTGTTATTATCACTATGACATAGCTATTAAATTGGCGAGAATTCAAAATCAAAGTGGGAAAGAAAAGAGTGGAAGAGCGAAAGATACGAGGACGTTGGGTAGCGACATGCAAGGTGAGCCAAACAAAAGTATGGTGGCAGAGAGACATGTTCGGGTGGTGGAAACTGAGACTAAGTTATAAAAGGGCAGTTTTAGAACCCCAAAGGAAAAGTAGAAGGAGATAGCTAAAAACTATCTTCTTCCCAAAAATAAAAGGAAGGAGATAGGAAAGGGTTGAATAAGAAAATTAAAAAAACAAATCCTTGGTGAAAATAAAAATGGGTAGGGTTTCGATGATCGCGTTGATGCTTTGCCTGATGGCAGCAACGGTGAGGAGCGAGGACCCTTACCTCTACTTCACGTGGAACGTCACATACGGAAGCGTAGCCCCATTGGGTGTTCCCCAACAGGGTATCCTCATCAACGGCCAATTCCCAGGTCCAGAAATCAACTCCACCAGCAACAACAACATTGTCATCAACGTATTCAACTACCTGGACGAGCCCCTCTTGTTCACGTGGAGCGGTATCCAGTTGAGGAAAAACTCATGGCAAGATGGCACATTGGGCACCCAATGCCCCATTGCCCCAGGCACCAACTACACTTACCACTTCCAGGTCAAGGACCAAATCGGAAGCTACTTTTATTATCCTACCACAGGTATGCACCGTGCTGTCGGTGGATTTGGTGGTCTTAGGATCTACAGTCGCCTGTTGATCCCCGTTCCATATGCTGATCCTGCTGACGAGTACTGGGTCCTCCTCGGGGACTGGTTCGCCAAGACACACCAGACCCTAAAGCAGTTCTTGGACAGTGGACGCAGCCTCGGCAGGCCCAACGGGGTCCACATCAACGGGGCCAATGCTGGGCTTGAGCCCCTCTACACAATGGAGCCCGGCAAGACTTACAAATTCAGAATCTGTAACGTTGGCCTCAAGGATGCCCTCAACTTTAGAATCCAAAACCACCCCATGAAGCTCGTTGAGATGGAAGGCTCACACGTTGTTCAGAATGTCTACAACTCCCTCGATGTCCATGTGGGACAGTGCTTCTCCGTCCTCGTCACCGCTGACCAGCAACCCAAGGACTACTTCATGGTTGCCTCTACACGCTTCACCAAGAAGGTCTTGACTGCCACACGTGTCATTCGCTACACCAATGGCGTCGGCCCCGCCTCCCCCGATCTCCCACCCGCACCTGAGGGCTGGGCCTGGTCCTTGAACCAGTTCCGCTCCTTCCGTTGGAACCTTACCGCCAGCGCTGCAAGGCCCAACCCACAAGGCTCATACCATTACGGCCAAATCAACATCACCCGCACCATCAAGCTCGTTAACTCCTTCAGCCGCGCCACTGGGAAACTCCGTTACGGACTTAACGGTGTCTCCCACGTCGACCCTGAGACCCCTCTTAAGCTCGCTGAATACTTCGGAGTCGCCGACCAGGTCTTCAAGTACGGCCTCATTAGTGATGAACCCGCTCCCACTCTCGGCGACCTCACCGTTGCTCCCAACGTCATCAACGCCACCTTCCGCAACTACATTGAAATCATTCTAGAGAACCCCACCAAGGTTCCCCAATCTTACAACTTGGATGGCTACTCTTTCTTTGCAGTCGCGTAAGTCTCTCATACTCTTAATTAACCACTCTTTTTAATTATCTCTTCTCTTACATTCATTATTTTCCTTGTTCATCTTATTATAGCATTGAGCCTGGCAAGTGGACCCCCGAGAAGAGAAAGAACTACAACCTTCTTGATGCTGTCAGCCGACACACCATTCAGGTGTTCCCTAAGTCTTGGGCCGCAATCATGTTGACCTTTGACAATGCTGGAATGTGGAACTTGAGGTCAGAGCTCGCCGAGAATCGTTACCTTGGCCAACAAATGTACGTCAGTGTCTTGTCTCCTGAGCGTTCTCTCAGGGATGAGTACAGTCTTCCTGACAACCAGCTTCTCTGTGGTATTGTCAAGGATTTGCCCAAGCCACCACCCTACACAATTTAAACCATTTTCTTCTCTTATTCTTCTCCCCTTTCCATATTAATTAACTCTAATCCATCTTTTATCTTGTGTAAGTGTGTGGTATCTCATGTTTCAACCCTTTCCTATCCTATGTAATTCATCACACCAATCAATATATACTAAACACTCCTTCCTTTTCCTATTATATCATCGTTTTTTCATTCTATCGTCATTTTTGTAATATATGTACTATTCTTTGTTTTAAAGTTAGAAAAGCTAATTAATATTATCTCAAGGTAAAATACTAGTTGCTAAACTACTTCAAAGTAATGAAAAGGACCCCTAAATTAAAAAGGATAAGGTTACGGTAACTAAATTCAAAGATTATTCAAGCTCGAACGAGCTCTATCCAATTAAACTTAGAATATTTATCATTGGGCAGTTCTTTAATCCATTTGAATATCTCTAAAAGAAAAAAAACTTTTTAATATTATTTAATTAATAGTTTCATTAAAAACTAGGGAAAGTTGGAGAAAATCAAAATGAAAAAAGGATAAAAAGATCAAGCTATACTACCAAATATACTTCTATGTTTTTTCATATTTTATTCATATGAAATGACTATGCTATAGGTGGTTTGTGATAACATAGAAATGGTGCATATTAGAGAACCACAATTTCATTCATCTTACACTATTTTTCTTTTTTTCTTCTCTCTTGCCAATAATTGTTTTGTAATTTTAAAGTAAAACAAGTGGTCTTGTTGTTAGCATAAAATCCTTGATGTTGTTTCTTACCTAATTTTCCCATGCCACTATTGCTCCAATTTTCACTTGGTATGAAGTTGAGAAATTAGAATTTTACTCAAAAAGCCTCTTTAATTCTATAGATACGGTGTCAATTTGCTAACAAGATGATAAATCAATACTTTGTTGAGTATGTGGAGTCTGAAGGGTTTATTGGGCTTCTCCCATTTGCTTTCTTTCTTTCTTATAAATGCTCATGTAATTGTAAACCTAATAACATGAAATAGAAAATATCATCTAGTGCAGTCGTGGACGTAGGTTATTCTGATCGAATCACGTAAATATTTGTATCTTGTTAATTTGCTTTCTCTCTTACATTGTGTGAGTGAGTGCATTTGGGATCCCAACAACTGGTATCAGAGCCTAATTTTCACGCGAGTGGGAGCAATGGAAGAAGACAGGGAAGTGAAGATTGACAAGTTCGATGGGAGTGATTTCAAATTTTGGAAGATGCAGATTGAAGATTATTTATATCAGAAGAAGTTGTATCATCCTCTAGCCTTTTTTCAATCTATCATGTCATTTTTGTAATATATATACTATCCTTTGTTTTAAAGTTAAAAAAGATAATTAATATTATATCAAGGTGAAGCACTAGTTGCTAAACTACTTCCAAGTAATGAGAAGGACCCCCTAAATTAAAATGAATTTTTTAACCCAAAACTAAAAGTATAAGGTTACGGTAACTAAATTCAAAGTTTTTACCTTGCAATAAGAAAAAAGTTTGCACCTTTTTTTCTCACTTCAAATATATATATATATATATATATATATATATATATCATTTTA